GTTGAGCCGAGTGTCGAGCTGAAGTTGCCTTATTAATTGCCTGCGGTCGTCTTGGTTGGGTCTTAAGGAAATTTGTCTTGCTCTCTTGCTCTCTGTGTAGCTCTGGAGTGGACCACAAGCCAAGATGATGCACACCTCCCCAGGCAGGCCTGATTCATTTAACTACTTAAGCTATTATCCAGCAGCTGGAAAAGGGTTGTTGCTGTTTCTGCTGATAAATTTACAGTTTTTCATGCCCAAAAAGAAATGTAGCTGCTGCTGCTGTTGTTGTTGTTGTTGTTGTTGTACTTCACCTAAGTGTTGCTCACTGATAAGCCCAAGGCTCGTTGCTTGTGGCACACATGTGCTAAGGCGGCTCCCTGCTTGGAAACCACATAATAATTCTCGAGAACAATGTAAACGTCAATTGTGCATGGCCAATGTGTGTGCGTGTGTGTGTGTGTGTGTGTGTGTGTGGGTGTGTTTAGGATTTTGTGGGCCATGTGGGTAGTTTCTTTTGGCCATGCGCCACGGAAGACATTGCCCACATCTCGGCAGATGTAAATGTCAGGGGACAAAAGGCAAGGACGACACAGACCCAGTATACACTCAGAAAAAATCGAAGGTAATGTGTTTTCATTTGCACTTATTGGAAATGCATTATTAAATAATAGAAATCATTTATATACAAATAAAAATTATTTTAAATTTGAAAATTACTTCTAAGAATTAGTGCGTTTTCCATTTTATACTCATGGAAATAATTGTAATATAAAGGTCGTCATTTAAAGTTTTTATAAATGTTCTAAGAAATATGAAAATGATTTTCTCATTTAAAGAAATCATTTTTTACAAAAATAAACACAATTTCTGAAAATCTGAAAAACATTCTAGTTTTGAGGCCATTTTAATTTTAGGCCGATATTTTAAAATGCGGGTCGGAGGCGGTTTTCTTTTTACCTAGGCAAGGCCGGACTGGTACACTCAGAAAAAGTCTACGCATAACAATTTGCATGCCAACTTTTTATAAATTTATTTATTAAATCTAGAAAATATTTCCAAAAATAAAAAAATGCAAATTCTTTCGAATTCTAAGGATTTCACATGCATATATTAGTAATTATAATTTTGTTATTATTAGAATTTCTAAAAACCAGAAAAACATTTTTGTTTTCAGAGTGATTTTCTTAAGTACAGTCTTTTTTTTGAGTGTACTGGAAAGAAGAAGAGGAGGATAATGGCACATGCCACACGTCAACGTCGAGAAATTTAAATTAAAAACCTTTTTGCATGAAATGCTTTTTTTTTTGTTGTTTGCTGTCGTTGCTACTATTGTTGCAGCATGTTGCAAGTGCCACATGCAGTGGGCGTCTTCAGACAGATCAAACATACATACAAACATAAGAGAGCAACGGAAATATATACGGGTTACTCAGCCAGAAGATAAAGTCATGTTGAACAATAGAAATAATAATAATATTATCAGTTTCCAGCAATATGCATTTTTGTAGGTATTACTCATTAAAGAGCCTCCATTTAATAGTTGTAGTGATTTTGTAAACACTGAACTGAACTTAAATACAGTCAGAAGATAATTCTTAGAAGAAAATAACAATGTTGTAGGTATTACTCAGATAATCCCTTCCATTTAATATCAGCTAGTCATATTGTTATTATCATTTCTAAACTGAATTCAAGTGCAGCTCAAACTTTTCAAAAAATAAAATCATTTATTTAGGTATCAGCAAGGCTATTCTATATTTAAATTATTTTTAACAGGAACTTAAGTAGATTCGTAAGAGAATTCCGAGAAATCATTTTTAGAAACACATTGTAGATATTAGTTGGAGTTCCTTTTCCTGGAATTAAACCAAATTAATCTTAAGATATTAGGTCACTTTTTGAATTTAACACTTTAAAACAGGGGTAAATAACACAAAAATGTATTTTTTGTGATCTTTTTTGTATTTTGTTTTTGTATTTTTGCAAGTTGTTGACTCGAATGTTGATAAACAAATGTTTTATGTGAATTTCATGCATAATGCGATAAGTTAGAAAGAAGCCGAGAGAGCAAGGGGAAGGGAAGGCGAACTTGAGCAAGAGTCTGAGTCTGAGTCGACTGACGATATGGCGACTGAGTTCAACTGACTGTATATATAAACACATACATATATACATATATACATATATATATAGTGTATATATACATATGCACTTGTGTTTGTTTTTATCAGCAGCTGAAAATTCCATTCGGTGAACTGCATAAATCTGCTGTGAGCCCGATGCCTATAAAAGTAAATCAGCTTGACTTTTTCTTCAGCTAAATTCTTTAGCTTGATTATGTTTCTTGTTTTAGCTGTTTTTGCTTTTTTTCCCCATATGCTGGTAGCGCCAATTAATTTGTGTGCTTAATTCAGCTAATTATTCCAAGCAATAAAATTCTCAATAGATGCGTAGATTGTGAATTGCTAGGGGTGGGGCATGTATGTCGAGGAGGGGGAGTGGGTGTTGCTGCTGGAGCATCGACACCTAAGCAAGAAATACACAAGACAATTGGTTAGAGCTGTGCACGTGCCAGACAAGGACAGGGACACGTTCAGCGACACTTTTAATTCAATTCGCAAAGGTTCCTTGGCATTGCTCCGGTTATCGTCTTCGACTTGGGCGATTTCTGTTTTTCTGATTTTTTTTTGTTTTTTTGTATACCCTGCCAGTGGGGTCCTGATACCATAAGCAGTCAGTACGAAACTATGAAAGATATATGCTTCTATTTGCTGACTATTTGTAGGAATAATTATATCCAGTTATTGACTACTTTATCAAGAAATTGTCATACGCAATCGGTCGAAAGCTACGAATTTTGTATAAATTAGATAGAAACTGAAAAATTTCACTTAGAGGGTCTTATAACATGACTTATGAGGCCTTCAGGTAACTCCCATAAGAATAAGTTACTCATTTCTTTCAATCCACAAAGAAATTCAGCTAAGACTTTGGCAGGGTAGGGTATTAAATATTCGACGGGCCTAAGGGATAACTATTCTGTTTATCCATCCAAAATCATTGAAAATGGGCAAAGGGGTATAATGATGTTGTCCCAAAGCATGTGACAGGCACAAGAAAGCATCGCCGAACCTATAAAGTATATATATTCTTGCTCAGCAACAAAAACCTTGGTGATACAGACATGTCTGTCTGACTTAGACTAAGACTATCTCAGAGATCATAAGAGGTTGAGGGACATAAGTTCTCCTGTATCACTCACAGCTTTAATTTTTCAATTAATATTTAATTTATAATTAATAAACTGCAAAAGTTACCTTAAGAACAAACAAATATCAGGAAAGAGATGATTTAAATTTCAGGCTTATATAATTCTTGTTTAAAAGAATAAGTATATTTTACAACTTATTTGAGGGTATCTGGTAGTCGAGCACTCTCGACTACAGCATTCTGGCTTGGGTATTCTTTTTTTGTGTTTAAGTTAACAGTGCGCATAAAAATAGAAATAAAAAGCAAGGCGACATTTAAATTCAAATTGTTGAAGACGCTGACGAAGCTGACGGCGCCACACGTCGGATTAATTTTATGTGCGCCAAGCAGGACCAAGGACCACGAGCAGGACTTGCACCATCTTCGTCCTCGGTTCAATTAGAGTTTAGCTGGCTGGCAGAATGGCTGATGGCTGATGTGAGGGGGGCAAGGCTATTGCCATTGGCTGTGTGAGCAGCCATGCAATTGTTAAAATCGAATTAAGCCACGGTGTCGCATACTTTTGATCTCCTTGACGCTGCCACAGCCAATGAAATGTTGCAAATACCCCTCATCCCCACATCTCCCCTCCGCACACCCCTCGTTCTCGGTCTCTGTCGGAGTCTGCCAATGTCCTTACATTGTCCTTGCCAGAGGTATTTCCTTCCCCATCGACTTCAACTCTGGCTGCGATTGCGATTTCGGTTTCAATTTCAGTCGCTTGGCGCAAATGAAATTAAATGAAGATTAGTCGTGTGCTCCGCTCCCAGATTATTCCAGCAAATAAAAATCTTGACGATACCGTTGATTCGAGTGAGTGTACTCACAACACCCACTGGCCTCTGAGTGTACTCATTATTCTTTTTTTCTCGTTTCATTTCGTTTCGTTTCGTTTCGTCTGCAGCGGCTTTTGCTTTTATTTCATTTGACTTTTTATGGCCCTTGAGGTGATTTCGGCCCCCATTAGGGCTAAACAAAGAAAAACAAAAAAAAAGAGGGCGTGGCTGGCAGTTTGACATAAGCATTGCGACAAATCTGCTCAAATCACAAGCTACATTTGCTCCACAAATTATGGCCAGCTTTTGGCTTTGCTTTTGCCAACCAGTTTTCAAGTGCTCTTTTCCCGACTGCTTTTCTTATCGGCTTAAATAATTAGAGTCCTAACGTCTTATTGATAACTCTATATGTCTTATATATCTTTGAACAGTTTCAAATGCAAATATTGAACTTAACATCAAATACACTACGACTAAGGTAAGTCTGCCTTTGTCAGCTGATTTTTTTCCCAATAATCGTTAGCATTAATGCAAATGTAATTAATACGTTATGAAAACAGTATTTTAGATATTTTATCTGAAAAAAATAAAATAAATAAATAAATATTTGCAGTACGTTGTGAAATGAATTCACAATAAATGCATTTTCATTATCTGCGTCAGGCAACATCAAATTTTCTAATATTTTCAAAATTAATTTGTTCCATGACTGTTTTTGCCTAGTTGTGTTAGGCACACTCCACAATACGCACAGCAAGCTTATACCTTCTAATAATAATAAGTATAAAGAGTGAGAAAGAAAATAAAGAAAAGCCTGGCAATGTTTTGAGCCTGTGGATTAAGTTAAGTCTACCACAGTTAAGCACGCCCAGAGGAAACTCTCTGCTTAATCGCCTTACAAATCATAAGCTCGAAAGCCTTTTCCAATACACAAAATAGACAATTAATGCAAAACTCAGAAAAATATAAAAATGTAGCTCAAGTTAATAAAAATTTTGTAAATTATCTAGACGAGCACAGTCGACTAGATTTGATTTATTGTTTCCCTTCATCCATATCCATCAAATTAATATTGCTCTCGATCCATTTGCGATAGGGCTGTACCCTAATATAGATGTGTGGCATATCGTTGCTCATGGCCAGCAGCAGTCCAACCAGATAATAGTTCTTCGGTTCCAGTTCGTCCGCATGGACGCCCATCAGCGCCGAGCCTGTTATTAAGGAGGAATTCAGATTGCAAAAGCCACAGAGGTGCTTCAGTTTGTAGGGTGTTGCCGCAAAGAGATTGTCGTAATCGACCAGATTGCGACGGCACTTTGAGTTGCTCGTAATGTGCACAAGAGCCTTCAACTTGTAGCCAATGGTGGCATTTGTGGCAAAGCCCGCAAGTGATAGATATTGGCCAATGGGATTGATGCCCAAAGGCGGCAGGCAAATGGCTCGAATGTGATCCGTAAAAGTCACATTCCTAACCAACTTCAAGATGCTAATATTATTGGAGAATGTGGAGGTTCTGTATTCGGGATGTATGACGATCTCTTCGATCTCCATCAATTGAGGTTCCGCGTTGCAACGTTGCATGTCATCACAATCCGGCTTCATGTGGGCATTCCTCGGATTCCAATCGCCGAGGAGAGCATAACGAATGGTTGTCTCTGCCAACTGCTTGGTTTCAAAACATTGGGCGGGGGCCAGGAGATACTGAGTGGAGATGAGGACGGCCAGGCACTTGTAGGCAATGCCACGATTGGCTATAGAAATCATTATCTGTATTCAAAAGTTGGTATCGACATTTCACTAGATTTGTAGACATACTCTCATATCCCAACCTGGCCATCCAGGGATGTTCGTGTATATCCGTAATATGCGTGAATTTCTCATGTAGTTCCTCGTTGAATATGCCGCAATCTTGAAAGTCAAAAGTCACTGCAAGAAATTGATGACTTTTTATATATAGATATTATTGGTATTATTCTCCTAGTTTACCCTCTGCCCAGCCCCAGGGAATGAGCAGCAGCATCAGCAAGCGAAGCACCAAATCCATTCCGTGGCATTCTAAGCAAGCAACTGATGAGATCATTTTTGATTTGTCAGTGTTAAAATATAGTCGTATTTGACATTATCACATTGGAATTTCTTATCGCCAATGAGAGAGACATTTCTAAGCTTCGGAGAATTCACAGCATTCACAGCATAGTAAACCTTGGAATATATTTATTTAGTATTTATTAATTTACTATTTATTTGTATAAATTATGTTTACATACTTGTGAATAGCTTTCTGCTGACAACATTATTTAATTACATTTCAAGCCAACACTTTGTTGAAGGAGACTTGAAATAAATTCACCCAGTCCAACTCCGTTCTCCGCTGATATTTAATATGTATATAGATCAGAAATATAATAAATCTCATTTGGTTTATGTTTTTTAAGTTTCAAACTATTACATTGTATTTTTTATTTAATTTAATTTAATAATTTAACTTTTTTGTATGGATTGACTTTATCTGGCATTAAGTAAACAAAATACATAAATTGAACTGAGGGCAACTTCCTTTTCTGCTCATATTTAATATGCATATAGCTTATATATAATCTCAACTTGGAATCAGTTCAAGTTCTTAGGAAATATCTTGCACCTCAGATCGAACCCTTTTCAGGCCAGTCAGCTGCTTCATCACGTGTTCAATTAAAAAAGAACTTGCAATTAATTGCTAACCAATTTGCTTTCAACACAACGCACAAAATTGCCGGACACATTTACCCGTAGCCGTAGCCGTAGTCGGAGTCTTTCGGATTTGGTGGCTTGATGACCAGCAGCCGTTGGTGTTGACATTTTGTGCATATTAATTGAAGACAAGGCGAACTGAACTTGGAGTCGTCGGCAGTGTTTTTCTTTTTGGCCACCCTTGGCTTAATTTGCGGTAAGTTCATTAAGTAATAAAACATAAATTTCTTTTTTTTTTTGGATTTTTATTTGCTGCTGTTCATTTTTTCTCTCTCTGGCACCCCATCAGCGTCATCATCAGCAAGTTTTTGGTAATTTTTTTTAACGCTTTGCATTTTTCTTTAATGAATTAATTCTGTTTTGGTTTTGGTTTTTGTTGATTCACCGTTCAGTGGACTTTGATAAAGGCGCAAAGTCGTTGGCGATAAAAAGGCCAACGGCTGGAGAGGGAAATGTTAAGATTTTTTTGTTTTAATTTATGCGAAATATATTACACAAGAAGAAAAAAAAAAACAAGAGTGTCGTTGTCTCGAGATACCCTGTAATGTGACGCTTGCTGCAAAATGAATATTTGATCTCTTAGGCAACTTTTGTGTTTCTTAACTGATCTTGATTTGATTTAATATAACTAGCATAATTATTAAAATATATATGTTTTTAGCTAATGCAAAATATATATTACACAAAAATCAGTGATTTAGTTGAGAGAGTTTGACTAGGAGATAAGGAGGATACCCTGCAGTTGAGCGCTTGTTTAAACAGCTTTATCTGATTTGCCTTTAGAATTTTTGCTTATACTACAATCGTTAATCGATTTTTATTGATACACCATAAGCCAGGAAGTTATCGATATCGAAATCTACTCTACTTTGATTGGTGCTGGTTAAAAATACGTTTTCTAAACGGATTCCTTTTATTTACTAGCTGCATACGCACAACTTCACAATTTGAATGGGCAAAGGGTATTTGAAAAGAGTGCCAAGGAAAATGGAAAACGTGTTTTCATCAACTTTGACTGACCGACTGACTGACTGTTAATTAATCTGCGCTTGCCGCGAAACTTTTCTATCAATATATTTTTTGGTCGAAAAACTTGTTTGAGCGCTGGAAAAAAAACATGTTTTGCATGCTAAAAACGATTTTCTTATGTCTCTGATACTTTTTTTTTTCTTTTTGCGGCATTTAATTGGCTCCTTTGGGCATGATAAAAATGTTGCATCAAATTGCGGCAACTTCTATAGAGTCGCAAGTGTTGTTAAAGCGTGTCGAGGGTTGGGGTGTGTTTTCCCCTATTTTTTGAAATGTTGTCACTTTTTAGTCAAATTTGTTAGAAATGTTGTCGTTGTCGTTGTCGTTGTTGTCCGCCTGTTGACATATGTGCCCGCAAATGAGCCGTGCAATTGTCGTCGTCGTGGCCTGGCATATTGACAGCTCCGATCTATGTGCCATATATATATATATATATATATATATATATGGATAAAGTCGATGCATTCAAGATTGAAGTGCATTCATTCAACTCACTTCTCGAGGGGGAATCGTCTCAAATTTCTCGACGTGCGCACAGCTTCTGACTGACAACTATTCGTTTGCCTTTCTTGTCCCGTCTCTGACTCTGCAACAGACTCTGACTCTGACTCTGACTCTGCCAAACATAAGCGTGTCGATATACGTGCCTTGTGGTGCACCAGGGACTCACTGCTTACACTCGTCAACAAATTGTGATTTTGAAAAAGACGAGCAAATTGCTTTCTTTTGTAGTATCAGCAATCAGCAAAGGTATTTGAACAAGTATTTGCTTGAAGAGTTTGAGAACTAACAGCAAATATTTGACTTATTTGCTTACAATTTATTTGCATATTTCGCATCAGATTTGTTGCTTTTTTTTTGTCAAGTTAAACTATATTGCTCCCATTTACAAAAAAGCACATTTTTGTATATGGTCGATATGAAAGTTAAATTTATAAATAGCAAATTTCTTATAAAAAGCAAATTATTCTTTATCAGTTCTCCATTGTTTTTATTTGTTTGCGTATTCATGAATTCAAACTACCATTAAAAATCAGTGCTTCAATTTGGTGAAGCGATAAATCTTCCATTTCCATTTTCAGAGCGTAGAATTGGGTGCTTCAATTTTTCCCCTTTTGAAAATATTCATCATTATTTTGTAATCTGTTGTGTATCGTTTATATTTTGGATATGCAAAATTGCTTATAAATATATTTAAAATTAATATTTTGCCTGCGATTGATCTGTGTATTTTTATAATATTTTGTAAGTATTTTTTGGCTTTATGTTGTCATTTGCCATATCATCTTCAATTTGTGAAAATGGAAGCTTAAAATACAACTTTCTAAAGTAAAAGAAGCAATTTTCACAATACGATAATTTAATATGTTCTGTATTGATTTATTATTTCTTCGTGACTTGCTGTATTTTAAATAAATATTTTTTATATATAAGCATTATGCTCTATAATTTAAATTCAAAGTCAAACATATAAGTCATTCGTAGAGATTACAAGATTTTTTCGTTATCTTTAATTGGATTTATTTATAGGTACACAAATAAAAACTGGCTTATCTCTTGGTTCAACATCCCTTTTGCACAGTGTATTCACTGACAAACATTTCACGCTGTCAACAAACAAATGTTCTCATGTCCGAATGCTAATGAATACAAAGTTGTTGCTGTGGCAATTAGTTCGTGTTACCTCTGAAACATCCACGGCTAAACCGAGTGAGGCATGAACTGCTTTAGTTGCTGCCACTTATCAGAGAACATGCGAGAGAAGCGACTCAAAGTCGAGTCTCTTATCTGCACTCAGAAGAAATAATCGCTCTAATTTCAAATTCCTCCACAAAACAAGAAAGGTATTCTTGTTCTTATATATATAATTTCTAAATAACCGAAAACATTTTTCTTAAAATTAGAAAGGATTTTAAGAAATAAAACAATTTAAGAAATTGATTACATTTTAAATTATATGAACTTATAAACTACCTAAAGGGTTTTTGTGTTACATCTTAAAATTCTAATATTTATTAATAATTTCAAAAACAAAAAGCGAATTTTATAGTTTATGCTTGCTTATGAAAAACACTCTGAAAATTGGACACTTTTTTTCTGAGTGTCGGCCACGGCACAGCACATGCAGCGAGAGTCGCTTATCAGTTGCACCTCTGACCCGTGAGTGATAAGGCACAGCAGGCAGGCCAGTCAGTCAATCAGTCAATCAGGCATTCAACTTGTGAAACATCGCATTCTGTTTTCAACACTCAACACGACATGTTGCAATTGGGTTCACTGTCTCTGCTGCTGCTGCTGCTCCTGGCTGTAGTGTGCCATGCCGATGTGATTCAATATCAGATGTGCCCCGACAGCGTGGATGTGTGCAGCATCGATGAGGTGCGCGTGGATCCTTGCCCCCAGGCGGCAACAAATACGCCATGCCGCTTACGGCGTCGTCATCCGTCCCGGATAAGTTTCGATTTCACGCCCAAATTCGATGCGGAGCATTTGGTGTCCTCGCTGGGCTGGGCAAAGAGTGAAACGGAGGAGTTGCCGCTGCTCACCTTGGAGCGTGATTCGTGCAAGAACACCCAGTGTCCGGTTAAGGCCAACGTGCAACAGACTTATGCAATTGATGTGCCCATCGACGCCAAATTCCCCATGAGCACCTACACCATTCGCTGGGCCCTCAAGGATGAAGTGAGTAGCAAGCGTTGCTGCTTCACCATTGTCATCAAGGTTGTGCGCTAAAATATGATAATAATAATAAAAATAGAAGAAGAAAATGATGCAATTCCTCGTCTATTTTTAATTGTTTTTGAGATTTGTCTTTCATTTCGCTGATGGCACTCTGGGGTGCACCAATATTCGTCGTCATTGCCATCAACCTGCGAGGCTAATTAAACGGCCTACGGCCTGCGCATCGTTTAAATCAACAGGGAGTAAAAAACTTTGATTGAACTTTTGGGTGCCATAAAAAGCATGCCCCAACCCCCTCAACAAGCCACAAGCTACCAGCCCCCACCCCTCCAGCTCTCCGTTCAGTGAATTTGTGTCTCGGCTACTTATCAGCGTCGTCAAACAATTAAAAATTGAGCACTTAAGTTGTGGTCATAAAATCATTTGTTTTTCGTTTTATTGTTTTTCTTCCTTTTTTTTTCTTTGCTTGTTGGAAAATTCAAATAACAATATTTTCAAATCACTTTTTTTTGCTTGCCTCAATTTTGTTTTTTTAATTTTTTTATTTTTGTTTACCTAAACGAAAAATGTTTACGCTTTTTTGTCTACAAGAGAAATTGTACACTCGACCAAAAAAATTTGCTGTTAATTTGAGAAATTTGCAATGGGTTTCTCAGCATATTACTGAGAAAGTAAAATTTAAGGTTGTGACTTTCCAAAATGTGCACAAATTTGACTAATTTCTAGTGTTTTTGGTTTTTATATGTGTATTATAGAATAATTCTCATATTAGATTTTTTTTGAATTTTTTTTTATTGTATAAATTATTTCTATCAGGAAAACCTTCTAAAAAGACGTTCTTTGCAGGGTAATTTTCATTTTATGGTAATTTTCTCTGAGTGTAGTCGTCAATGGATGATAAGCACAGTATTTTTTTTTCAGCCCCAACCACAGCAACAACAGCATTCAATTAAGTAAATAATAAAAAAAAATATATTATGGAACATAATTTCTTAAAGTAAGTTTGTATTTCACAATTGATGTGACATGCAATTGGATGCCGATTTTGATTTACTCGAGAGCGCTATTCTCGCCATACTTATGCCCAAGCATATATGGAGTCTTGGTCAAGTGGGACATGATGTGGCATTTGACTGCCTCAAAACAAGCTGTGGCATCCACATAGACCACCTCGCGTCGATAACTGAGATAGGTATTGAGTGCTGCTTCACTTTTGCGGAACTGTCGCATCTGTCGGTCCACATAGGTGACATTATCCTGCGGAGTTGGCCTATAGTTGCGCATTAGCAATCGCATCCTGGCCATTTGCTCGTTGATCTGCAGAAAGATCAAACGATTTGGGGGCACAGCGAAACCCTCGAATAGCTCACGTGCCTCACACCGATTATTGGGATAATTGTACAAGATCCAGCCACGATGCAGGGCATCCTCTTTGAGCAGACGCTGCTGGATAATATTCCCAATTGCCTGCGAACGGCGAATGACACAATCCGACTCAATGCCCTGTTGGAGCAGCTCCGCATTTGCATTCTGCTCGTGTCCATTGATGTGATGATAGCCGAGCACATCGGCATCCAAGATGAGCAGATTCCAACGCTCGGCCAGCACATGGGCGAGTGAATGACGACCAGACCCATGTCTGCCATGCAACACAATGCGATGAAAGAAACTCTTGGGCAGCTGAAAGAAATCTCCGGCGACTCCCCGATGAAATGCGTCCAAGGACTTCATATACACATCCTGTGCAATCGAACGTATATTCTCCCCCAGCCATCGACGAATATCCTGCACTTGCTGCAGTGATATCTCAGCCAGGATGCGACTCATGATTTCCATCAGTTTGTGCTTCTCAATGAAGAACGTGTACGATGCACTGAACTCGACTAGCATTTTCTTGTCGATTTTGGTAGGAAAAGACATGATTCCAATATGGCTTAAATATGATAAAACTAATTCTAAAGAACTTTGAGAATATTATATTTTTTACTAAATAAATTGTATAATTTCACTAGTATTTTTATTTGAATTCATTTGTGTACTAGCACTGACAACAACAAATTTTAAGTAAAACTCCAAGAGTTCTATTTGTGCTTACTGTTTCTATTTTTAGTCAACTATTTGTATTTGACATTTACTATATTTTGAGGATCCAATTTTATTTTATATTTAATAAATAAATATGAATAAACTTATCGTTTTCAATATAACAAGTTATAAATAAGCAAAAACTTCAAATATGGCAAATATGGACAGGTAGCTGGCCTTAAGTAAAAAAAAATTATGTTAAAAAATAGTGGCTTACTTTTAGGGGCACAAATGTGATGTAAAAAGGTAAGGTTTCTAGGTGAGCTAAAATGATGATAAAAAATGATATCAAAGCAAAACTATTTGCAATGCTGCTTTTAATTTAACTTAAAAATGTACTTCTTTGCAGTGCTCATTTTCTTGTTTGAAGAAAGTTTAAGCCCCACTTGAAGTAAGTTTCTCTCATTCTAGAATAAACGAACTAAATGTAACAATATATTTTTGATGGGATCTAGACTATATATTCTTCATTTAAGTATAACTTTTCTTTCATCTGTACATACCTTTCTTGCATTTTGCATGAGATTCTGCTGACACTCTCATTAAACTCAATCACTCAATCTTACAATAAATTCTTCATTGAATTTAAATTATATTCTTGATGTTATGTAGAACATATTCTTAATCTAGTTTGCTCCCTTTCTCTGGATAGTCACGGCTTTTATCGTCTGCTGTTTGGAGTTTTGTTTGTATTTTGTTTTGAGATATTGCTGATGCTCTCGAGTCTCAGAGATTATCTCACTCATTATATGACCATAATGGCCATTACCATTTGGCCAACAACTGGCGACTCGTCCGTTGAGTTGTTGCCACATTCATTGCACATATTAATTACATCCGTTACAAATATTAGAAAATGGTGCGCACTTCCGGCCAACAGAGGGAGAGCCAAAGCCAAGACACACTGGTTCCTCTGGCTATAATGGCGATAATGGCTAATGCCTTGCCAGGCGTTGTAAATTGGCATCATGTAAGTCCTTGCTTGCCATATAAGTTTGCTGACAATATTTTGCTGCGAATTATGACAGCTCTTTTGTCTGAGCGCGCACATTAACAATTTAAAAAGTTGTCTTGGCCTCGCTTTGCTCTGCTCTTGGCCATAAAAGCGAGGAGGATGCGAGGGAGATGGGGAAAAGGGAACGGCTTTTTTGGTGACGCTGCTAACGGCCTGCAAAGTGTTGCCAAATGGCTGTCATACTTTATATTGTCTTATGAGACATGCCAGGGCATCTTTTGGTCTTGCTCTTGGTATCCTTTTCCTTATCCCCATCCTCCTCACAGTCCTCGTCCTGGCTAAGCAAAAATGCAAGCAGACTCTTGCTGCATAGTCATATTACCAAAGTTGTTGTTATTGTTATGCTGCTCATTTGTTTAGAGTGGGTGGCGGCTAATAAAAACTGGAATTCTATGAAAAATTGTTTCCTGTTGCTTATATTGGCCATATTATTATGCCAAGTATGCTGTTAATATCTTTCACATACACATCATATTGCTTACTGCATTTGCTTTTCGATTTAGCCGAGCTGCAACAGCAGCAGCTGCTTGCAACTTGCTGCAACTTTAAAGCAATCCAAAAATGAGCAACATCAACATTTTAATTACATAAGGCGCGAAAAAATATGCATATGCATATGAAGGCTTTTGGCTTGTTTTCCTTTCTTATTTTTTTTGCTATTTTGGCTGTTTTGGCTGTTTGTACAAAGCGCAACTTTTTAATTAAAGCCAAAGTCAAAGCAAAAGCAAAAGCAAAAATGGCGACAACCATTTGCCAACAGCGTCTCAGTTCTCAATTTTGTCACATTTTTGCTGAAATGTGCTTAATTACATTTCAGCATCACATATCCGAGTGCCACGTATCCTTTTTTGATCAACCACAAAACTAACAAAATAAAACATGGATTGCTGCAGTAGAAAGTAGTCAACGTTTAGATATCCTCTAATTCCACTCTCGTCTTTACTAATACACCTGTAAATAATACTAAATATATTTGTAAATGATAATTAAATTCAGTTACAGATACTCTAGGTTTGAGTTTAGTCTTAGTCGTTTAATTCTCTTTACTTTTCTATATGCAAATAATAATTTATTAAAATAGGTGTTTTTTTTAAATAAATATCCCCTACTCAAAGTGTTTAGCAGAGATTTGATTAAAGTTTGGTTGTCACAAGTTCAATTTTTGTAATTCTCACTTGATAATCACGTTTCACGAATTGAGAAATAAATATAAATTATTGTATAAATAAATACTAATTATTACCAAGAATTTGAGTAGTTAATTATACTTAATTTTATCTCTCCCAGCTGCTGTTACATTTATAAAATCAGCTTTGATATACCTTTTAGTCAGCAAACCGCCAACGGAGTATTTGAAAAAAAAGACCCAAAAACAAATGTGTGGCACAAGCCGCGCAGCCGTTTGACGCAGTTTCGCTTATCAGAGAATATTTCATATTAAAAAAAAAATGAGATGAAAAAAAAAATGTTGAAGCGGTTTTCTATCCAACAGACGCGCTGATTGAATGAAGCCGCTGCGAAACGAGCACACGCAAATGCAAGCGCTCTGAAAGGGTGGCGCAGTGGGACAGGGAGAGGGGTGGGTGGGTTGGGTTGGGGCAGTTGGAGGGGGTTGCTTCACATAGAAGTCTCATCGGACGAGGCGGCTGATAAGGCGTAGAAAAAAAGTGACCGGCAGTGCTTGGCACTCATCAGTTCAGCTCAGCTCAGCTGAACTCAACTCAGGCTGGCCGAGTAGCTCAAACTATGCCTTTCCTCGGCTTTTAGATTGCTGCGCACTTGAGCGCCTTTTTCATCTTGCCGCACGTTGCAACAACTGTGAGCGCGCAAAAAAAAAGAAGAAAAACAGGAATACGGAAAAGTATAGATAGCTGAGGCTGTTGATTATATACACTTGGAGTTCAAACTTGAAATGTAATTCGTTTGTTCATATTTGCTTGCAGTAGCTCATTTATTTGCGTGGCCGTTCAGTAAATGTTGGTAAAAATATTGGTTTTTAATTCAAAAACTATTGTTTCGATCCTGAGCAAATCATATGATTTGATATCTTTTCTTTATTGATCGACATGCTTCAAATGCAATCAGTGCTAGTTTAGTTAAGTGATTTCTCAATCAAATCAAACTTTAGATAACCAGTGGACGAAATCTCAACTTTGCTCACATTGATATGATTATGATTCTCCTGGGAAATATAGTTATTTTTATTGTGGTCAATTTGCTGTTACACACTTCACAGCAAAATTTGAATACTCTTCGGGAACTAAAGGGAAAAAAGGCAAGAAAAGAAAAGAAACGAAGAAAAGCTTTATCGCCGCATTGTTGTAAAGTCAGAGGCCTTTTGAGTCAGCGTGGCGACAGTTGCATTTGCGAGCATCTGTTATCTGGCCCAGCCGCTTGCGTTGTTGCCACACACTTCCTCCGGAAACTGTGTGCAACGTGCAACATCGCGTAGTCTCTGCTTTGTCATCTTTTTCATCCATATCGACTACACTTTATCAGCCTGCGTAATTTTCTGGTGTGTGATGAGTGTGTGGCGGCTAACCGCAAAACACTTGACAATTAAAAATGGTTTTTTCACACACACAGAGACAATTGCTAGTCAATGTCAACAATTATTTCCTCAGAGAATGCCTCCCCTCAAAAAAAAAGAGAAAATCGACAACCAGCCACACATCAACAAGCCGGCAACGTTCACAGTTCACACCGTCAATATTCGCACCAGCATCAGGACCTTTTATCCTTTGACAATTTGCCATTGGCTGCCAATATTTTTTCAGTCAATTTTTGTCAACTTTTTTTTTGGCATTTTCGATCTGTGGCACGTGAGGCATTGTCCTGCGTGTGTCGCTGTCTGCCTTCAATTATGCAACAATTGAAAAATTACGACGTGTACAACAATTTTTTCTTGTTGCCTGACTGCGATTTGTTGAAGGGTTGCCTTATTTGAGCTGCTGCCCAGTCTCTAACAAAATAAAAATGGCAAATGACAACAGGTTTTAAATTTGTCACCACAACAAACAGTGGCAAAAACAATACGTGCCACAACAACAACAAGTAAATGTTGCTCATGACAAACGCCAAATGAAGCACAAATTTAATTACGCAATTTTATTGGATTAACAGCAAACCTGACTGCGGCAGCCACAGTGGCTGCTACATGGGGCATAAAAACAAATTTAAATAAGCCAACACATAAACATGCACACACACACACACACACATATCCACACACACATGTACACTCAGCGAAAAACACTGCAAGAAAGCAAAGCATATTACTTGGTGTAAGGCTTAAGATCTTCCACATCAAATTGAGTGTGCTTTAGTGAAAATGAAAGTAAACAGACAAAATTAAAAATAGACAAACGCCAGATTAACCGAACTCAAAGTAATTTTAAAATAAGAATAAAGATTCGTAATCTCAAGTCAAGAATAAATTACGACTACTAAAACTGAAAAATAAGAACACATCAATCTTAATCCTAGTTTATGTATTCTAGAATAAAATGAACATGACAAGAAAAGAGACAATTAACTTAATCCCAGTTTAGTCATTCTTGAATAAACGATTTCAATCTAATCTTGAAAAAAATTAAGATCTACAATCTCAATTCAAGAATGCTTTACTAAAAATAAAAGAGGCTAAGAAAGAAAGCTTAATTTAATCTTCAAATAAGAATTAAGTTTGTAATCTCAAATTAAGAAAGGCTTTACGAAAAATGAACAAGACAAGTGAAAATACACTGAACTCAAGACAAAGTTCATTTATTGTAGAACTGAATTTGAATAAATTAAGTTACTGCGCTTATATTTTTCAGAGTGTGTATACACAGACACAGACACACACATGGGTGTGTGTGTGGCAGGCTGTCCAGTGTCCAACCCCCGAAAGAATTCAGCATCTTTACTGCTTCTAGTCGCGTAGGTGAGCCGTAAATTTGCGCGCCATTGTTGTTGCTG